GGATCTAGTTTTTGTAGTTCCACCAGCTTACCAGTACTTTAGGTTTGAAGGACTGTAGGACCGAGACACTGCGCAACGTGGGTTCTACTAGGCAAAGAAAACGACTTTTTTTTACTCGCGTCGCGCGGCGTAGAGTCTCTTCCGTCTGCCAGCTATGGAGGTCGGCGCTCGCGAGACGTGCCGGCTTTATGTCGGCCGTTTGTCGACGCGTACGGGGATGCACGATTTGGAGGACGTCTTTTCCAAATACGGAAAGTGCGTTTTCATATTTCCACCATTCCAAACCGTTTCATTGCATTGTTCTTGTACATTTTTTATGGAAGATAGTATTTTCTGGTAAAGGACCAACGTTCGTCGCCGACCAATCACCTTGCGTGCGCGCGCTCCGGATGAGTCAAGATATTCCGGATTCGACCAGGAATATCGATTCCAACTTAAACACCAAGATGCTGTCAATGTAACCTCAAGGGTTCCGGTACTCCCGAGGTGTTTTTCGCGTCAAGCAGCGCCAATGGTCCTGGATTTGATTTGAAACACCCGTTTCGATTTCTCTAAGAAGACTCGGAATTCTCGTGATTCTGCTCGTGTTTCTCCGTGCCTGGCCTCTACTGCTTCTGGTGTCAAATTCTGGCATTGACTTTTCTGCTATTAATTTCAGCGTCAACGCTCCAGCCTCCATACCGTGGCACCTGATGCTGATGAATTACCCTCCCCGTCCATTTGCTTGCCATGAGCTTGCCATGAGCTTGCTGGCGTTTTTAAGTCCTTCTGCTGCACTCCTCATTCGCCATTCCTATTTTGAGCCCACACCGCTCTAGCCTCTGGGGCAAGAATGGTTGGCTCTTTGTCTCCCTCCACCCCCTCCCCGGCCTGCAATCCGAGTTTACAAAGCAAGCGACGTTGCAGTTTGAGCAGCTACTTCTGGTGGCAGGATTCAATAATTTATTTTCAACAGGTTTCATGCCCCCTTCATCCGAGCCCCTTGATTAAGGCAAACAACATCCGTCCGGGGGCCCTATGTTTTCAATCAACATCTCTATGGCTCAGGAACCCTTGACCTTGTCCCCGAGTGGGCTGAACCTGAATGCTGTCCTGAGCCTTTGCCTCCCTGCTCCCATGTTGGGACCTCAACTCAGCCACCTTGAAAAATGCCCCCCTTTCCCTGCCATACTTTCTCCCTCCCTCCATGAATCCATCCTCTCTCCATTCCCAACATACTGGCTCGTTCATCTGCCCCCCCCCCTTGCGTGGACCTAATTCTAGTTTCCCTCCTTCATGTCTCCACTCCCTTTTCTGTTTTCCCTTCTGCTCCCTTGTCCGCTCCCCGCATTCTCCTCCTCCCATGCCTCTCCTCCCTCCGTCCATTCTCCTCTTCCTACGCTTTTCCACCCTTTCCCCTCTCTCCCCCTGCTCTCGACATCTCCTCCCTCTTCCTTCCCTCCCCCCTCTCCATTTCCCCCTCCTCTCTCGCTCTCCCACCCTCCCTTTCCACCCCCTCTCGTGCGTCTCGCTTCCCCTGTTCCGCCCAACCTCCGCGTGGACACTTGTTGTGGCACTGCGCTTCTGCTGCCGATCCACCCTGGCTGCTGCCGATCCACCCTGGCTGCTGCCGATCCACCCTGGCTGCCGATCCACCCTGGCTGCCGATCCACCTCTGCTTCTGCCTCCTGAAACGTCTCCTGCTGACTTGTGCGCCTCTCACCACAATGATGGGTGGCTGATTGGACAAACGGCATGGCTCCATGTGCGCCTGTTGCTCTGATGCGGCGGCTGCCTGCCTGTTGCCATGGTGTTGGCAACTTCTTGGACCGGCTCACTGGGTGGCTGCATGGGTGGCTGTGTGGGCGGCTGCATGGATCGCTGGCTGCGTGGGCGGTTCCGTGGGTGTCTACCTGGGCGGCTGCATGGACGGCGTTTCTGAACGCTTGTTCGTCTCGTGTGGCGCCTGCTGCCATGGTGGCGTGGCGTTGCCTGCTGCTTCTACCGCCACTCCCTGGGTGACTGACTGCTCTGCGGCTGCTCTGCATACTCCGGTGCTGCCTGGACTGGACGGGACTGGCCTTGTATGTCATGCTCTCACCACCCAGGGTGAAGAGAGTCGATATGAAGACCGACTATGCCTTTGTGGTAAGCCTCTTGCTTGCGTGGTGCTGTTGCCCTTTGACAAAAATGTATATATATATATATATATATATATATATATGCCATTCATTCAGGTGTCAAGGCGTGAAGAAAACCTCTCTCGACTGGTTTTGACCTTGTGGTAAGTCACTTTTGCATTGCTTCTCTGTTGTCCTTGTATGTAGTGAAGATGTGTGTATGGGTATGGGACCATACATATGCATTTCAGGCTATGGTGGACGGACCGGAGCTTTAACATTCATGGTAAGACTTGCATGCGCTCTTGCTCGTTGGCTTATTTCTCTTGTTGTAAGCTGACATTCTTTTGAATGTCCTTCAAAGCAATCGAGGACTTTGGAAGAAATATTCGAACCTCAGCCTTCACCCAAGTCTGGCTCCCTTTGTCGCCCTTCACCCAAACCACAATCATCGGTTGTCTACTTCGCGTGGTCTTGTTGCCACTCCTCATCAAATCACAATCGCTCGTGTACTCCAGGGGCTCTTAACCACCATCAAAACAAGCGACTCCCCTCGTCTACTTCATAGTAACCCTTTTTGTATTGGAGGCTTCACTTGTCTGTCGCATGGTCTCTCCGACATCTCTCATCTCATCTGAATCAAACCGAACTCTTCGCTCGGCTACTTCATGGTCTGTTCACCACTCGTTTTCAAGCCACAGTCGTCACTTGTCTGTTGCAACTCACATGGTCTCTCCGACATCTCTCGTCTCACCAAACTCTTCGCTCGGCTACTTCATGGTCTTTTCACCACGCTGTGTCCGAACCACGATTCGACTCATCCTCATCCTTTGATTCTCTTTGTCGGTGGCGGCACACCGTCGCGGTGGCACGGATGCACACACAGTGTCACAAAGCAAAGGCACAGCAGCACGATGGCACGCAACCAAAAGCAACATGGTGGCACAGAATTACAGCGGTAGGGGAGCACAGCAGCACAACAGCACAGCAGCACAGCAGCAAAGCAGCACAGCAGCACAGCAGCACAGCAGCACAGCAGCACAGCAGCACAGCAGCACAGCAGCACAGCAGCACAGCAGCACAGCAGCACAGCAGCACAGTAGAACGGTGGCACGGTGGCACGGTGGAACGGTGGTTGAACCACAATCTCCTCTTGTGCAAACATCGTGGTGGTGGCTTCACCGACGTTCGTGGAGATCACAGTTCCATCCAATCCGCCCATCTCATGGTGTCTTCTTGAACCACCAACGTTCGTGGAGATCACAGTTCCATCCAGTCTCCTCTCGTGCACATCATGGTCATCAATGTGCCCATCATTGTCGCTACCCCCCATCGTCCATCCAAAACACAACTCCGCCTTGACCACTTCACGGTATCTTCGAACCACAGCCTCTTATCATACTTGTGATGGCCGCGCCGTCGCCATTTTTTGAGACGTCTCACAAGGTATCTTCGAACAACAGCCGCCTATCATATTCCTGATGGTCGCGCCGTCGCCGTCCATCCAAACCAAACAACAGTATCAACTCGTCCCATTCATGGTCAACGTTGACAGACAGACCAGTCTGGGTTGGCACACCCGTGATGGGTCAATTCAAATGAAACCGGCCCTCGACCCATTCCTTCAAGTCTGAAGACCTTGACTTTCAGAGATTTTCTGAGGCCAAAGAGGAGGAGAGCTGGTGAGCTATCAGGGTGAGGACAGGACAAAGTCCTTCCTTGGTTAGTGCCTGCCACGAAGATAGCATACGCCCTTTTTTACTTTTGAGGCGCATCGTCAAGAGCTGGTGAGCTGAGCTATCAGGTTGAGGACAAAGTCCTTGGTTCCTGCCTGCCACGAAGATAGCATATGCCCTTTTTGACAGCAATCCAGCGCCCAGCCCACAGGTATGGTGGTCAATGCTGACGATGTGGACAAGAATATTGATTGACGAATAAGTTCAGCGAGGTGGGGTAGGCGGCGAGGCGCACATCTTACCGTACTTGATTAGCCGACAGGCGTGGGATAGGGTGAAAGAAGGAAATATGAGGGTGAAGTGGAACGGGGTGACGACCAAAGGTGGAAATTCCGACCAGCTTGGTTGGCCTACGGCCTGAACAGCTCCTAGGCCTGATTAACCTTTTGGAGGACTGGTTTGATCGCCACGACCACAATCAATGACTCTACTTACTTAGTGCTCCTAGGCCTGGTTAACGTGGCCAAGTTCTTGCATTTGAGGTAACCTGCAGAGCTGTTGTACCCACAGAATTAGCAATGAGAATAATGTCGTCAGGTCAGCATACACTAGAATGGAGTAGCGAGGGGATGTGTGAAGGGAGTGGTTGGTGTCAGAATGAGAAGCAGAAACGGGGCTAAGGACTGCAAGATGCCTGCTAATGCAAGGTGGTGGTACAACTTGACATGCCATTTGCAAGGTGCTCGCGCGAGTGTGACGTACACCGGACGGCGGTGCCGCCACAGTGTGTATGTGTGTGACACAGTCTGTGTCGGATTGGATGTGGATGGCAGCATGAAATCCATAAGGCAGGCAGGATGCTTAGAAAGCAAGTCGTTTTTTCCATACATTTCCCTTTGTCCCCTAAAGCCCATTTTGTGTTTTGCTGCCTCTCGTTTTGGGCTGCATGATTTCCTGCGTCAACGTGCTTAGGAAGCAAGAGACAACCGTGTACCAAGTCTAACGAATGGTTTCTTATCCCCAAAACCCTGCCGCGTGTTCTGTTGGCGGCAGGAGTTCAACAACGCGCAAGATGCCAAGGAAGCACAGCAGCGCTGCGACGGCATGGTGGTGGATGGGGCAAGAATCATTGTCGAGATGTCCAAGCCGGTGAGTGCTTTTGGCCGGGTTATCGTGTGGATGTGTGTGGATGTTGGTGGGCTGCTACTGCTAGTGCCGACATAGAATGCTGCGATTACATGGTGGTGGACGGGGCGAGGATTATCGTGGAGATGTCCAAACCGGTGAGTGCTTTTGACCGGGTTATTGTGTGCATATGCGAGTGATGCATGTTAATTTGCTGCTAATGCCAAGGAAGCGCAGCAGCGCTGCGACGGCATGGTGGTGGACGGGACAAGAATCATCGTGGAGATGTCCAAACCGGTGAGTGCTTCACATGGCCGAACTGGAGGTTGTAAGGGCTGGTATTGCATGCAATCACATCTGACATGCACTCCTCTTTCTCGTTCCCATTCGCCCTCCCATTTGCCCCCCACAGCCCAACAGAAGCGAGGCCTCCCACAGCCGCTGGGTCACCTGCGGGCAGCACGGGCATCTCTCCAAAAATTACCTGCAGAAGCACAAGTACTCGCAACTCACATGCATCTTACTCCCCCTCTTCCTCATTCATTTCCCCCCACAGCCCAACAGAGGCGAGCCCTCCAACCCACCGCCGCTGCTTCCCCTGCGGGCAGCACAGGCATCTGTCTAAAGATTTTCTGCAGGAGCACAAGTACTCGCAACGCACATGCATCCTACTCCCCCTCTTTCTCATCCATGGCACAAGCACTGTCCCAACCACCCTGCCATGCCGCCGCCAACGCCTGGCAGGGTTCCATCTGGGTCTGGGGTGATCTCTGATTCTGCTGCTGCTGCTGCTGCTGCTGCAATTCACGTGCGTCTTACTCCTCTTTTTCATCCATCTCCCTGCCCCCACAGACCAACCAGCCCACCACTCCACTGCGCTGCTTCACCTGCGGGCAGGAGGGGCATCGCTCCACGGATTGCCCACAAGCGGCCACAGCTCACATGCTTACTATCCGTCTTTCTATCCATCACCTCTCCCCCCACAGACCAACCAGCCCACCACTCCATTGCGCTGCTTCGCCTGCGGGCAGGAAGGCCATCGCTCCACGGATTGCCCGGACAGGCAGAGGCAGCATCACTCGCAGGTGGTGTGCTTCGGGTGCAAGCAGCCCGGCCATCTGCACAAGCACTGCCCCCACCGCCCTGCCATGCTGCCTCCCACGCCTGAGGGGGTGCCGTCTGGGTCTGGAGTGATATCTGATTCTGCTGCCGCTGGGATGCCTGAGGCGGCAGCAAGTGGAGTCAAGTGCTTCGGGTGCAATGCATCTGGACATGTGCTCAAGGACTGCCCACAGATTGCTGGTGAGTCTGCTGGGGATGCAACGAACTTGGTCCTATGATAAGGGCGCGTAGCTTTCTTTGGGTGCAATGAACCTGGTCATGCGTGCTCTAGGACTCCCTGCATATTGCCGGTGAGGCTGCTTGTATGGTATGTGTTGCAGTGGCATGTGTTGCAGTGATTTCACTCCCCTCCTGTGGATGCTGGTGCGGATCAGCAAGAGAGGCAGTTCACATCACACTGCTCTTACGCTGGCGCGGCAGAAGCGAAGTGAACTGTTAGCCTTGCCTCTGCTTTCTTGCCCACATCGCCTTTTGAGACGTCTCAAAAGTCGCTGGCGCGGCACAAGTGAAGCGACCTGTTAACCTTGCCACTGCTTCCTTGCCCACACTCGCCGCACTCCCCTGTTTCCACTCCTCTGCTTCCACTCCTCCATGCGGGTGTGTGGGCGCAGGTGCGGATCAGCATTAGAGGCAGCCAAGTGCTTACTTTCTTGTACTCTCTCACTCCTCTGATTCCTCTCCTCTCAATCTTCTGCTTCCACTCATCTGTGCAGGTGTGGGCGCAGGTGCGGATCAGCATGAGTGGCAGCATGGGTGGGAGGAGTGACTTGTTGACCGTGGCATAACTGCCTTGCTCATACCCGCACTTCCCTCGTTTCACTATTCTTGGTCCGCTTGTTCGTGCAGGAGCAGGTTCGGAGCAGCAGGAGAAGCAGCGCAGGTGGGACAAGCGCCATTCGCCTCCCACCGCCCGACAGCACTCGCCCAGGTGAGGTATGATGTGATGTGAAGGGATGGAGTGAGATGAGGAACGGTTAGGTGTGGTGGAATGGGATGCGCTTGCACTCATCGAGGTGTGGGCGGTGGCGCGGAGCAGCAGGAGAAGCAGCGCAGGTGGGACAAGCGCCACTCGCCGCCCACTTCCCGACAGCTCTCGCCCACGCGAGGTGTGAGGGGATGGAATGAATGAGATGAGAAGTGGTGAGGTGTGGTGGGATGGGATGGGATGGAGTGGGAAGAGACGGCATTTGCCATTATCGTCATCCCTGTTTTCAGGTTTCTTCTGGCTACCTTTTCTTGTGGCTACCTTTTCTTGTGGCTACCTTTTCTTGTGGCTACCTTTTCTTGTGGCTATCTTTTCTTTTGGCTACCTTTTCTTTCAGGCCACACGAAAGCACTTGCCACTTGCATAGATTACCTATCCCATGCTTTGCCCACTCCATCCTCATCTCTCTCCCCTACCTTCTGCCCTTCCCCTCCTCTTTCCATGCATTTCTCTCCTACTGCCTGCCTGTTTTTTTTTTTTTCTGGTCCCCTGCCTTCTGTTCCCTCTGGTGCATGTAAATTGGGGGTGTTTCGGAACTCTGCTTTTATCTTAACAGGCGTGATTTGAGAGACAGGCTTGGGCGGGGCGAGAGGGATGAGAGGAGGGATGGAGGCCGGGGACGGGAAGAGAGGGGCAGGGATGAGAGGGAGCGGGGGAGGAGCGAGATGGATAGGGATAGAGAAAGGGAGCGGGAGCAGGAGCGGGAGAGGGAGCGGGAGCAGTGGGGAAGGGACGAAAGGGACCGTTTTGTTCACGGCGGTGGTGACAAGAGGGGGCGTGATTATAACGAGCTTGGCAGCCCAGGGAGCAAGAGAGGCCGTGACAATAACGAGCGGGACAATATCGGGCGTGACAGAAACGACCGTGACTTTAGGGATCGGCAGGGAGGAGGTTATTTTCCTAACAGAAATGACCGTGATTATATGGAGGGCAGCGGTGCGAAGCCAGAAGCCAGACTGGTGATGACTGTGTCTGCCACCCCGCCTAAACCTGTCCCCCCTTATAACCCCCTGCCTCCTGCTCCCGCCCCGATATCGAACATGCCGTATGGCGGTATGCCTTATAATGGGTCGGCTTATGGTGGGGCGGGCTATGGGGGTACGGCTTATGGGGGTACAGCTGGGAGCTCAGGGCATGTGGGAACGGGTGGGGGGGTGGATATGGGGATGGGCATGGGGATGGGAGTGGGGGCTGGTAGTGGGGGTCAGGTGTATGGGCAGGGTGGTATGGCTGTGTCAATCATTCAGCAGGCTCCTGGTGCTCCTGCTGCTGCTGGTTCTGTTGGTGCTGGTGCTGGTGGTGGTGCTGCTGCTGCTGCTGGTGGTGCTGGTGCTGGTACAATGGGTGCTGTTGTGTCGGTCCCTGGCTTTCCCCTAGGCACCGTTGCTCCTCCTCCTGCTCCTGCTCCTGTTGCTCCTGCTGTTACTGCTCCTGCTGGTGGTGGTTCTGCTGTGTATGGTGCTGCTGGTTCTGGTGGTTACGGTGGTGGTGGTGTTTCTGGTCCTGGCATGCAAGGCAGTGGAATGGGTAGGGGCATGCAAGACAGTGGAATGGGTGGGGGCAATATACCAGGGAGTGCAGATGGATTAGGAGGAGTGGTGAGCAGTGGCGGGATGGGCGGAGGAATGGCAGGAGGAATGGCAGGAGGAATGGCAGGAGGAATTGGGGGAAGAATCGGTGGAGGGATGGAGGGAGGGACGGTGGGAGGAATGGGGGCAGGAATGGCAGGAGGTTTAGGAGGTGGGGTTGGAGGAGGAATGGGGGGTGGAGGAGCAATGGGAGGGGGAGGAGCAGGAGACGTGGTGTATGTGGCTATCCCAGCGGCAGCAGCAGCAGCTGCGGCAGCGAGGGGCGAGCAGCTTATTCTAGTGAGTGCTAGTGATGGCCGGCTGGTGGGGCAGGATGGGGTGACGCTGCCGCAGGGCGGGGGGATGCAGCAGGGGGTAATGCAGCAGGGGGGGATGCAGGGGGGGGGGATGCAGGGGGGGGTGCAGGGGATGCAGCAGGGGGGGATGCAGCAGGGGGGGATGCAGCAGGGGGGGATGCAGCATGGGGGGATGCAGCATGGGGGGGTGCAAGGGGGAGGTCAGGGGATGCAGCAGGGGAGGATTCAGGGGATGCAGCAGGGAGGGGTGCAGGGGGTGGGATTGCAGCAGGGGGGGCAGCAGGGGATGCAGCAGGGGGGGCAGCAGGGTGGGCAGCAGGGGGGAATGCAGCAGGGGGGGCAGCAGGCGTTGCAGCAGCAAGGGGGGATGTCCCTGCAAGCAGAGACAGGGGGGCAGCAAATATTTGTTGTGGGACAGGATGGGATGTTGACTCAGCAAGCTGTAAGAGTTTCCGGGCAGCCTGTGGGGCAGCAGCAGCCACGGCAGCAGCAGCAGGCGGGAATTTCAGGTGAAATGTCAGGTGTTTTGCAGCAGTATGAGCCTGTTCAGGTGTACAGTGGAGTAGGAGGGTCCTATATCACCACTCCTGCTGGGGGAAGCATGGAGGGCGCTCGATCGCAAGGCTCCTATGGCACTGTTGCAAATACACCTGGACCTGGGGGGTATGGTGCGAGTGCACCCTACAGTGGTGGTGCTACTACTGGTGGCTCGTCCCTCTCTACTCCCCCTTGGCTTGCCGCTGCTCCTGTTTCTACTCCCAATGGTCCTCCCCTTCCCCCCGGACCTCCTCCCACTTACGACACGAGGATCGACACAAGGGGTGCGTCTGCAGGAGGGGGGTTATCAGCCCAGCCGTACGCTGGTAACCGTAACACAAATACCACGTACACTGGTAACCGTAACACAAATACCAATGAGCAATTCATTCGCAGCATCAGCGGATCCATCGGACCCGGTGGTTTGTCTTACGTTGTTGAAAACCCCCCCGCGATGCAGCCTGGCCTGGGTTACCCCGCAAGAGGACCAGAAGCAGGGTCCGGCGGTTATAATGGTGGCATGGGGAGCAGTAACACTGGGAGCGGTGGTTTCGGGAATAGTTATGGTGGTAATACGGGTGGTCCTGGTGGGGGTGTAGGTGGCGGTTACTCTGATATGCCCTCTTATACGCCCATGCCTGCTCCTCCTCCTCCTGCTGAGGTTTACTTTAGCGGGGGCAGTGCGTATGGTGGCCGGGCAGACGGAATTATTGGTCGGGCGGAGGGTTTTATGGCTCGGGCAGAAGGAGGGCCAGGAGGAAATGCGGGCTGGGCAGAAGGAAATAGAGGAGACGGAATTTTGGGCAAGCCACAGGGGGTGATGATGAGTCCACCAACGGGGAGGGGTCCTCAGGATCAAGAATTTGCGAACCGAGGGAAACGGGGTGGGGCGGGCAGGAACAGGGGCAACAGCGGCGGCACTGGGGGTCGGGACAGGGATCGTGGCAGTGGCGGTGGCGGTTGCGGTGGCGGTGGCGGTGGCGGTGGCGGTGGCGGTGGCGGTGGCAGTGGTGGTGGTAGTGGCACAGGGGGACGTGATCGTGGGAGTGGCAAGGGCAGTGGTGGTGGTGGCGGTGGTGGCAGTGGTGGCGGTGGTGGGGGTGGCACCACAGGGGATCGTAATCGTGGTAGCAGCAGTGGTGGCGGTGGTGGGAGAGATGGCGGTGGTGCTAAGGAAACTCGCCACCGTTAGGAGGGGTGGGGTAGTGGAATAGAGAGAGAAGTTGTGGCACAGAGAGGGGTCTTGGGACAGGGAGAGGAATAGAGACAGAGAGGGGTCTTGTAATGAAGGGATTGTTCATGGAACAGAGGGGTTTGACAACATATAGTTTCTGGACCTAGACAGGTAAACGGGGTCTCAAGACATAAGATTGGTTTGATAATGCCAGATGTTGTATCGGGGGTGTTTTAATTGGGAAAGGAAAGGGGAGGGGCATCTGGTGGAGGTGGCATGGGGCACTGCTGTTGGTAAATGGACGGGGATTGGGTTAGGAGACCAGTTAATTGCCCCCAATATGGTTCAGGTTGAACAGGGAGGAGAGAGCACTGCAGTTGACTATATAATTTCACTCTTAATTCAATACTCTGCGAGTGTAAGCAGGTTCAAGTTTCAACATACCGTATTGAACCATTGGGTAACAGATCTAGGTGTAGAGCAGCCTTTTTCAATGAGCTGCTCTCCAGCCTCTTCGCACTGCTCGTTGTGGCCCCTCAAGTTTTCGCCCTCACGTGGTATCCGTATTGCGAACTCTGCATTTTTAGCGGTAACTTCCCAAATCTTTTCGCTAGACTGAGTTTTCGCGAGGGCACCCTCTCCTGTCGCCTTGCTTCTTGCATTCCACACCACACAAGGCAACACCCATTTCCCACCATCAGCTTTCTTACAGCTTGCTTCTTATCTCTCGCGCGACTCAAAATCAGCTCTGGCGATCCTAGATTCTGACCACGCTGCTATCGCGAAGTTTGTTTCTTCCATGATTGCCGCTTCGCCAAATAGTTCTTCTGGTTGAATCTGCGCGGCTGGCGGTCGTCACGGCAGCTGCGCGCCGAGCCGCAGCGACCCGAGTCGCAGCGCGGCGCCAAGGCGCTTCACATCGAGGCTTCATGGGGTCCGTGCTGGGTCGCATCGAGGTCGAGACGCCGCGATTCACGGTGGAGGAGAAGACGGATGCATTCGAGATTCGACGATACCCTCCGCAGATGGCGGCGGAGGTGACTTACGACGGCGACCACTTTCAGGTGCGGTGCAGCACGGCGCTTTACGGTGCATCCGGGTGCATACCGCGTACCATGTCCAGGTAATTGGCCGCGGAATACCGTCCTTCGGTAATGTCCGTAATTTTTTCCCCCTTTTTAGATTATTTCTCTATTTATTTAATCAATTAGTCGTTCCGCAAAAGGCGGAAACGTCGTATTCCTCGGCCTCTGGGCAAGAGATGGCAGTTGAAGTGACTATCGATGACCACTCTTTCACATAATTAACTGATGCTCAGTACATGATGGGGTCGGTTGATTGACTGGCCATGTAACGAGCATTTCTTCCCCCTTGGCAGGGTGTAATGAGGTCCGGGCGCAGCGGGTTATAATAAAGCTGTTTCAATTGTTTCTGGTTTTATCTCCTTTCCCTCCCCGTCCCTCTTGTGCCATAGGCCCCCCCCAGCCCTCCCTCTCCCTTTCACTCCCTCTCCCCCGCGCATCTTGGCTCTAGAAGCAATTCCTTTGCTCTGCCAGACTGCATTGGGGCGCTCTGAGGTGAGGAGGTGACAAAAAAGGTGCTTCTTCAATATATGAGGCGCTAAAACGGTCCGATAGGTATTTATGAAACTTTGTTTCTTTTTTTTTTTTAACCTCATTTTTCGCCCCGTCCACACACTCCCTGCACAGCGTGTTGGTTCCAGAAGCGTTTGCTTCGCCCTGGCAGGCTACATCGGGGTGTTGAATAGATTATTATTAAGCTGCTCCTTTAATGTCTTCTGCTTTTCCCTCCCTGTCATCCTTTCCCTCCCTCACTCCCTTCCAACTCTTCCCCCCGGCACAGCGCGTTGGCTCCAGAAGCGGGTTCTTCGCCCTGGCAGGCTACATCGGGGGTGCTGGGTCTTGTAGATGAAATTCAAGCTGCTCCTTCAACTGCTTCTGGTTTTCCATCCCTTTCATCCCTTCCGTTCCTCTCATCCCTTCCTTTCCTTGCACCTCTCACACCCACCCCCCCTCCCTGCACAGCGTGTTTGTTCCAGAAGCGGCTTCTTTGCCCTGGAAGGTTAAATCAGGGTGCTTGGTCCAGTAGATGACAGTTAAGCTGCTCCCTTAACTGTATCTGGTCATCCTTCCCTTACCCCCCTTCCACTCCCCCTCCTTGCGCAGCGTGTTGGCTCCAGAAGCGGTTTCTTCGCCCTGGAAGGCTACATCGGGGTGCTGGGTCTTGTAGATGACAGTTAAGCTGCTCGTTCAACTGCTTCTGGTTTTCCGTCCTTGTCATCCCTTCCCTCCCTCTCATCCCTTCCCTCCCTTTCATCCCTTCCCTCCCTCTCATCCCTTCCCTCCCTTTCATCCCTTCCCTCCCTTTCATCCCTTCCCTCCCTCTCATCCCTTCCCTCCCTTTCATCCCTTCCCTCCCTTTCATTCCTTCCCTCCCTTTCATCCCTTCCCTCCCTTTCATCCCTTCCCTCCCTCTCATCCCTTCATTTCCTTGCACCTCTCACACCCAACCCCCACTCCATGCCCAGCGTGTTGGCTCCAGAAGCGGCTTCTTTGCCCTGGCAGGCTACATCGGGGTGTTGGGTCCAGCGGAGAACAGAAAACCTGCTCCAGGGGAGGGAACGGGAGGGGAGGAGCAGCAGAAAATAGCGATGACTGCTCCTGTTATCACAGAAACAAGCGCTGCTACTGCTGCTGCGGTTGGGGATAGTGCTGCTGCTACTGCTGGTGAAGCTGCTTCAGCTGCTGGTGCTGATGGTGGTGGGGGGGTTGGTGAGGGTGGTGGGAGCGGTGAGCCACGGAAAATCGCCATGACTGCTCCTGTGGTAACAGAAGTGGTAACACCTGTCGCTGGAGAAACGGGCGCTGGTGAAGCAACGACAGCAGCGAGCAAAACGATGATGCAGTTTCTCCTACCAGCGTCGTTCACGCCTGAAAACACCCCCATTCCCACCAACCCAGACGTGCGCGTGCGACAGGTTCCTGCGCGCCTGATCGGTGCACTCACTTTCTCGGGTCTCACGACGAATGCTGTGCTGGAGCAGAAGTCTCAGGAGCTGCGGAGTGCGTTGGAGAAAGCAGGGTATGGTATTGCGGGCGAGTATGTGCTCGCACGTTACAACGACCCGTTCACGATTCCATGGTTTCGCACAAACGAGATTCTTTACCCGTTAGAAGAGGTTCGGAAAGCAAGTGGTTCTTAAGAACGCTGTTCACCTTTGCCCTTGCAGTAAACCAATTATATTGCAACCTCCAAACAACAAAATGTACACAGTACAGCATTATCCTTCCACAGGGTACAAAATCTCGTTTGTCCGCATAAACGGCAGAGTGAACGGCGGGTTGTACCGCCCAACCACATAATCCCCGCACACTTTGTACCCAGCTGCTTCTAGGGCACCTCGCAATTCCTGCGACTTGTGCTGAAGCACTGATTGCGTTGTGAGGCCTGAGAAGGTGACAGCACCCAGGAGGCGTGGCGGCAGCTGATGAATGCTCACATCCAGGTTGGTGGGGATGGGCGTGGTCAATGGCGCGAGGGACGCTGGCAGGAGGAATTGCATCGTGGTTTTGCCTGCTGCTGTAGGGGCTGTGGAAGGGGAGGTAGAGAGGGAAGGCAGGAGAGTCGAGGAGAGGTTTGGTTAGGAGGAAAGAGCACTAGCTCAGATGCAGGTCATTCTCAGGAAGTTGATAGCGTGAATTATAACTTGTTTTTCCAGATATACAGTTTGCTGTGATGAATGTACTGTGATGAATCTAAGTGCTGCTTGAAAGGGTGCATGTGCCTGGGGGTATGAAGACAGCTTAACGAATAACTCATCTCTAGTTTTGAGACGTCTCAAAACTAGCTTAACGAGCAACTCATCTCTAAGTGCTGCTTGAAAGGGTGCATGTGCCTGGGGGTATGGAAGTCCTTGATTGCTGGCAGATATGCATGCACACTTGCAAAACTGCCACTTCTTCTGTACCTGTCACCACAGGAGCAGTCATGGCTATCTTCTCTCCAGCAGCGCTGCTTTCCCCTCCCACTTCTCCACCTCCTCCTTCCCCTGCTCCAGAGTGTGTGAGCACAGGAGCAGTCATAGCAATCTTCTCTCCAGCAACAGTGTGCCTCCCTGCCCCATCCCCTCCTCCTCCCCCTCCTCCAACATGTGTGAGCACAGGAGCAGTCATGGCAATTTCTCACCCCCCTCTCCTGGGCTGTCCGAATGGGCAGGTGCAGGACGGTTCTGAGGAGCGGAGAGCGCGCCTATGTACCCCGCTAAGGCGGAGAAGGCTGTGTTGATGCCGTTCTGCGGGAAAAGCATGGGAAAGAGAGGGATTGACAGGGGTTGGGAGGGGCGGAATTGAGCGGAAATGAGAGCGCGCCAACGTACCCTGCTAGCACGGAAAGACGCTGTGCTGATGCTGTTTTGCAGAGGCATGGGGTTCAGGGTTTAGGGTTAAGTGGCACCGTGATGCATGGTGATGCACCTTACTTGGTGGTCGCCGTCGTACTTCACTTCCGCCACCATCTGCGGAGGGGTAGCGTCGAATCTCAAACGCATCCGTCTTCGCCTCCACTGAGATGCACCGGGATGCACCGGGATGCACCGTCATGCGCCGTCATGCACTATGCTACACCGTGCTGCACCGTACCTGGTGGTCGCCGTCGTACGTCACTTCTGCCACCATCTGCGGAGGGTATCGCCGAATCTCAAACGCATCCGTCTTCGCCTCCACCGTGAATTGCGGCGTCTCCACGTTGACACGACCCAGGACGATCCCCATTGGTCACCAGTTGTTATTACTATAAATATTACGCGTGTAGGATTACTGAGACGTCTTAAAGAACGTCTACAGTTGTTACTACTACAACCCGTGGAGAAGGCGCGGAGTGATTGTTCTAATCACGCTGTGCTTGCGAGCTCGCCCAAGCTTTGTTGAATGAATGTCTGTCTGGACTCCGCTGCATATATCGACAAGAAGGAGCAGTGAATGAAAGGCAGAGGAGCAATCCACACTCACGAATTTGCAGGCAGCGGTAGTAACGGCAAGACGCTACTAATAGCACAGTACGCTATTCCGTCGCTAGAGCCAAGAGCCAGGCATATCGAAATCACATGATGTTTGCCTGCGATGATGTTTGTCCTTCGCGCGCACGCAAAGAAGCGAAAAAGAGCAAGTACGGTCGGCCTTCCCGTGCCACGTCATCGTCGAACGTTCACAGCTGTCTATAGCTTGCGTGTATGTTCACCGTGCCTCCAAGCATCTATGGCAACCATCCTCGCTGTTTATGGCAGACGGAAACTGAAGGTGTTGAGTAAGAGTTAAAGAAGTTACTTATCGGTCCGAAATGGTTCATATAGACAGAGAATTAACTCCTTTGGCGCGCCGCTGCCTGTACGCATCATGCTAGGTTTCGTTAGGCTTCCAGGAGCCTCCCAGACTGACGTCATCCAACAAAACACAACGTACTCGATACGGTAAAATTGCAGCAAAAACAAAGTACACCCCAGGACCAAGTTAATACCGGTACATGCAAATCAACATTGATGAGTCAAGAGGCATCGTTGCTCATATTTTTTATTCCAAACCTTGACGGAAGGCGCGGAGTGGGAACCGGTGAAAGGCCCGCCTCCTCAGTCTCCGAAGCAGAGCAGCTCGGAGAGAGCGGACTGGACGGGGATCTTGGAGTGGGAGGATTCACAGATGACAACGACAGGCACGCTGCAGACCGCCTCATGACTGCACTTCTCAATGCCTCACAGGATTCTCCGAATCTCACAACATTCGTTTCTACACCACAATCACCAGATTGCGAAGCCTGAATGCGTTCCATACTGCTTCTTTGGCTGTTGCACCGCTCCTCCTGGTTCCACCCAGCGTTGGGATTCACGCCGTCATGCCGGTTGCTCCAAGGCTCGTTCTCCTCAACGCAATAATGCCGTGAGTTGAGGAGAAGCACGTGACAGGGCTGAGCTAAGGTCCAACACTGCGGATACAGCATGCGCCACGGCATTCCTGTCTGACACAGCATTCGCCATTGAATCCCCTCCATACTGCAAGTCAGAGAAGCCATTGCTACCTCGTTGTGGCACGTACTTGAGGCGACCAGGTAAATCACCAGGTCTATTCCCACGTGCATTGCCAGGTCCCAGGAGCGCACAAGGAGCAGTGGGAGGTCGGGAAAGAGCGGTGAAGCTTCCTGGAAAGCGGTAACTTTCAGCCAGCTCGTTTGCTGCCTGCAGGGCCATGGCTCTCACTCTCGCTGCTGCCCCGGCTGCCACGTCAGCAGCTTCAGCTGCTGATGACACGTGGCCAATCAGAGCACAGCTGGCCTGATCACCAGCGGCACTACTGCTGCTGCTTCTCGTGAAACTGCTGTCGGCACCCCATGCCTCTGCTCCCCATGCTGGAGCCTTTGCTGCCACTGCCTTCTCCTCCTCCTCCTCTTCATCGTCTTCCTCTGTTGACACATCCTCTGCAGTCCAGCAATCCGCTCCACCAGATCTTGCCAGAGATTCTCGAGAAATTTGAAATCTTTCAAAAACCAGTCCACTAGGTCCGGTACTGCAGCAATCTCCACTGATTCCCCATGGGAGGTCACAATCCTGTTGCTTGGAATCAAAATCATCACCACCATCAGAAGAAGCAGCAGCAACATCGCCATCATAATCACCACCCTCTGCTAGCAGGGGGGAAGAAGGACAGCCGTGCCTCAGCTGCTGCTCCTCTTCCCTCCAGAGATTCACCTCTGTTGCTTCGAGCACTTCTCTCGGCAGCGATATGGACTTGCCAAAAGCAGCGTCAGGGCGGCTGGCAGTCGTGCTGCTGGTCAGATCCGTCCTTTCCCGAAGACTGCTGCAGGCAGATGCGGTACGGTGGGATGCGGTATAGTGGGATGCAGTATGGTGGGACGCAGTATCGTGGGACATGGTGCGGTTGGACGCGGTACAAGGGCGTGGCACACGCTGCACGTGGTAGTTACCACTGGGACAAACCACATGGTAAGTGCTTCCCAGTCGCAACACCTCTTCAGGGAGAAGTGTGCAGCAACACGATGTGACTGAAACGAGGGCAGTGCCAGGGGGAAAACCCTGCAGGAGCGCTCCCACAGTGACTGGTTCAGTAAGGATGTGGGCCCCACCGTCTGGAAGGAGGAGGATGATCGTGGACGGGGAGAAGGGTTCTGGTTCTTGAGTCCCTGTTGGGACACGCTGTGAGATTTGAGGTGACGTTGGGAAGAGTTGTGATTTTTGAGACGCTGATGCAAAGAGATGAGGCTTTTGAGGGGGAGAGAAGTTGCGAGGGGAGAGTAATCGAGAGACGAAGCCGCTCGTGCGGCTGGAAGTTAGAATTGTTAGCCTCCGGCCAAAACGGCTGCTCCTGCTGCTGCTGGTGCTGCTGCTACTGCTAATGCTGCTGTTGCTGCTGCTGCTGCTGCTGCTGATATCGCTGCTGCTGCTGCTGCTGATATCGCTGCTGATGCTGCTGCTGCCGCTACAGTTGCTGCTGCTGCTGCCGCTCCCACTGCTTCTACTGCCGCTTCCCAATTCCACACAGTGAGATTTCGTGCATTTGGAGGTGGCAGCAGCAGCAGCTGCACCAGTAACAGTAGGAGTTGCAGGTGCGATGGGGAGAAACGAGTGGCAGCAGCTCACAGTGCCAGCCAGCGGCGAGTAATCTTCACCGTTGGAACATTGCCACGTGGCAGCATCACAAATCTGCGTAGTATTACGTGAGTCTGGGACCGAAAGCGACAGGTCCTCAGCACAAACCACCTGAGAATTCACCTGGACAGGTCGGCTCATTTTCTCCTGACGAGGATTGAGAGTATCTGGGTGATACCACAGAAGGCTGCAAGCTTCAGACTTGAGACTTGAGGTTCAGAGCTTGAGGGTTGAGGCTTGAAGGTTGAAGCCTGACCCTTGAATTTTGAAGCTTGAGACTTGAAGCTTGAGGCTTGAGACTTGAAGAGGCAGGTTAGGAGCACGGTTGGGAGGAGTGTGTGAGGATGCGTGGAAGGACGGGATAACGGATACGGCCTTACAATGGATTCCAAGACAGCAAGTTCAGGAATCAGAATCTGCGAGACGTTATTCTGTAGGAGATCTCGTGCTTTAAAAAACCGGAATTTATCGTCTTCGGCAGGTTCGCCGCCGCGTTTCCACTACCAACACGGAGTGGATACAAGAGGAGGGTGCGGAGGTTGAGGGAGAGCAGACCGTCTTATAGTAGCGGGAATGTGAGGGCCTCCTTTTGAGAAAAAAACGTGGTGTTGGTGCTGGCAGCGCGATAACAACTTTCCAGACAAAATGCAGAGGAACGGTATTAATAGGCAAATTGAAGCGCGATGCGCGTGTTCGCATGGTATTTCTGGAAAGGCACGTGGTGGATACGTCGCGAAGACACGTGGGCTTCACTCTTGCCTCGTACGTATATGCTATCACCGCTCTCGTGTTAACCCTAACGCCAATTTCACGCGCTGAAGTGTCGGCACGGTGTTCGTACCAAGGAAGCACTACCGAGCCTGCTACTACCGAACCTGCTACCGAGCCTGCTGCTACCGAGACTGCCACCGAGCCTGCACCGACGACACTACGATACGCCCTACTAGCCCGACGGGTAAATCTGGCGATCACACCAAACGCTTCGAGGAAGGTGGAAAAGACGGGAGTCCCCAAGGGATCTCTCAAACGGTCCGACAATAGGCGAGGGCTCTGAGAAGAACGAACGAAAGGGATCAGATCCGAGAAGGCAAGGTACGCAAGTCTGTGACTCTTTCTCCGACTAGCTCTTTCAGTCTTGAACTCGGCAAGAGCATGTGACATCGACTTAGGATTTGCCGAATTGGAGGGAAGGCCGCATCTCGACTCCAAGTGGGCTCGTCCAGTTGGTAAGTCATGTGAGTCCATGGCGGAATGAAAAACAAGTCCTTCCGATTGGGTGTAGTCGTAACCGTAACCGAGAAGACAGCGCGAGACTGCTTTATGTGCCTCTGCTCTGGCTTCGCCAGGTGTCATTCGAGAGGACTCAAAGGACATCTCACTATTCGTTCCTATGTCCAGCGGCTCATCTACGCTTTGCGACGCGCGCCGATACTCGCGAAGGAGGAACCCCGTGGCCTGTTGCTGCTCGGGTGACTTTGCTGCGTGTGACGGAAAAAGCCGGACTTCACCTCGGTTTCCTCGTAGGACGGTGCAGTGTTGACGGGCTATGGCTGTTATGGCTGACATGGACTAATGTTGAAATTACAGTTAGGAAAAAAGGCAAGGCGAGTCGGAATGTGTCTGACGATGATGGAACAACACCTAAAATATCTGTCTAACCTAGCATTATGTTTATCTGACCGTACCGTATACCCCAGTTTCAGAAAGTCGGCCACGGCTGCGAGCGTGTGTTACCCTGTATTCGCTGACCTGGAGGTGACAGCGAGAAGCACCAGCATTCCAGCAGTTCCCTTTGCCTTGGTGGTTTGGCAACGCCAACTTTCGCCGATCTGTTTGGAAAATGTCCACCCACAGCGCGCCAGCATAGGAAACTTTCGCAAAGATAATCGCCAACCCACATCGCTGATCAACTGCTGCTGAACCTGTGCTGTGTGACAGACCCCTTTTCCACCCAAACAGTCAGACCATCAACGAATTGCGAGAGTCGGTAAGAGATGACCAGAGCACCAACTAAATGTCTCAGAATGTGTAAAAATATTGTCATTTCTGAGGAGGTGGTTTTATAAATCAAACGGAATGGGAAACGAAAATAGGATGAGTTAAATCACGCGCAGTACACTGGTAATGAACAGTGAACCGTTGTACAAATACCAGAGAGGATAGGAGTTCCTCGTATTGAATAACGAAATCATGCATGGGTAGTTACAAGTGAAAGGTGCCTGGTTGGGTGACGCAGTTAGCGTGTGGCTCTGGGCTTGCAGAGAAACTGGTGAGGCATGGCACAGGGGAGTGAGCAGGATGAGGGGAGTGAGGAGCATGAGGGGAGTGAGGAGCACGAGGTGAGCGGGGAGGATGAGGGGAGTGAGGATGAAGGGAATGGGGAGGATGACGGAGTGAGGAGGATGAAGGTGCAACCGCAGCAGCAACATGTATGGCAGCAGAAACGCCAATGCTAACCCACCACCACTCCTCTCCAACCATTCCATCACATACCCCTTCTGTTGTGCCTTTCTTTACTCCTGTTTCACCTGTTCGTTCAACTAGCTCAGCTCACCTGGCTGGTTAAGCCGTCCTGAGCACACTCCTGTGCACAACGTTTGAAACGACTTTCTAAATGACATTCTAGAAGTCTCGAATTCTGCATAGCCGGCTCACCTGGTTGGTAAATCCATCTTGCGCGCACTCGCGCGCACGTGAAGCAGTGTCAGCAACAAAGTGCAGCGCTCTCGGTCGTCAGGTTGGAGGTCGTTCTCCTTGTCGATGGGCGGGTGGCAGGCGACGCCCTTGCCCTTCTTAACTCCTTACCCTACCTGCTCGCACAACCGGCTCACCTGATTGCTGAATCCGTCTTGAGCGCACTCGCGGGCGCGGGCGGCAGTGTCAGCAACAAGAGTGCAGCGCTCGCGGTCGTCAGGTTGGAGGTCGTTCTCCTTGTCGACGGGGGGGTGGCAGGCGACGCCCTTGCCGTTGATGGAGCGCACGTGAGCAAAGTACATCTCGTCAATACTTAAATCCACCCCTCCCGTGCTCGGCTTGTCTGTCCGGTGCACGTACACCGCTTCTACCTGCACCACCAAGCAATCGCAACACAAAGGTACACCAAAGGGGGTGACAGGCAGCACCCTTGCCATTGATGGAGCGCATGTGAGCAAAGTACATCTCGTCCGTACTTGAATCCACCCCTCCTGTGCTCCGCTTGTCTGTCCGGTGCACGTATACCGCCTCCACCTGTGGAAACAAATTACAGGAATCCAAGCAACCACAACTGAAGTGAGGCGAGTTTTTTCGGCGCCTGAAGTGATCAGGTGCACCGCCTCGACCTGTTCGGAAGCGCCTCTAAGAAAGGCTGTTATCCTGGTCGGTGGGTGGGCAGCAGGCACCACCCTTGCCATTGATGGAGCGCACGCAGGTCTACTCCGCCTGTGCTTGGCTTGTCTGTGAGACGGCTCCGCCTGCACCAAGCAGTCACAACACAAAGGGGGCGGCGGGCGGCGGACGACGGTCTTGCTGTTGATAGAGCGCACGTGGGCAGGCGACGGCCTTGCTCTTGTTGGTATTTAAATCCACACCCTCTGTGCTCGGCTTGTCTTTGCGGTGCACATACCCTGCCAGCAGCAGCAGCATGTACCTTGCGCAGGTTGACAATCATCTTGCGGTGCCCGTAGTAGTCCACGCACACCTTGGGATCATCCTCCCCTCGAAGACCACCTTGGGATCATCCTCCCCCCGCAGGCAGTACGGCGCCTTGCGGCGTTGCAGCATCCTCTCCACCGCAAACTGCCTCTCCTCCTCACTCCTCCTCAGGGATTGCCATCGACTCCCTTCTCGTCCTTTCCAACTCATTCTTGTTGTATTTAGTACATTCCAGCTCAGGTTCTTACAAGTAGCACAGTATTAGAAGCAGCACCAGCACCACCATCACCACCACCAGCACGTACCTTGCGCGGGTTGACAATCATCTTGCGGTGGCCGTAGTAGTCCACGCACACCTTGGGATCATCCTCTCCGCGAAGGCCACCTTGGGATCATCCTACCACCACCACTTTCCACCACTCTCCACCCCCATCACCACCCACCTTGCGGGGGTTGACAATCATCTTGCGGTGGCCGTAGTAGTCCACGCACACCTTGGGATCATCCTCCCCGCGCAGACAATACGGCGCCTTGCGCCGCTGCAGCATGCGCTCCACTGCAAACCGCCTCTCCTCCTCGCTCCACATGTCTTCCGGCCCGTCGTTCTCGCATATGTGTGCGGAGAACACATAGGTGCCGAGCGCACTGCTGCAGCAGCAGAACCAACTACCACCAGCACCACTACCAGTAGACGACGCACCTTACGGGGGTTGACGATCATCTTGCGGTGGCCATAGTAGTCGACGCACACCTTGGGATCATCCTCCCCTCGCAGGCAGTACGGGTTTTTTCGCCGCTGCAGCATTCTTTCCACCGCAAACCGCCTCTCCTCGTCGCTCCACACGTCCTCCGGCCCGCCCTCCTCGCATATGTGCGCCGAGAACACGTACGTGCCGAGCGTGATGTACGGGAGGGATTCGAAGCGGTGGAGTATGGTTGGGAGGGATGCGGGTGGCTGCACGGCGAGGTACTCGTCTAGATCATGGAAGGCCACCCAGTCGGCTTGTGTGCGCATGCGATACATGCAGTCATGCATTGCCACTGCCTGAGAGGAAAACAGGGAAGAGAGGGGTGGTTTGGTTTGAGGTGCCTCAAATGTAATCTGATTGCATGTGTGCGCATGCGGAACATGCAGTCATGCATCGCCACTGCCTGGAGGGGGGGAAGAGGAAGGGGGACAGGAGGGGAGGTGAGGGTGGGAGAGAGGGGATGGGAGAATGGAAGGCCACCCAGTCGGCCTGTGTGCGCATGCGGAATATGCAGTCATGCATCGCCACTGCCTGAGGGGGTTTGAGTGGGGATGGGAAAGGGGAGGGGTAACGGTGGGGGTGAGGGGTTGGTAGGGTGGAGTGGAAGGCGATCCAATCGACTTTGTGTGAGCGTTCAGCGAAAACTAAGCGGACGTAGCCTCTGCCATGGCCTTTTGGTAGTCAAGTCAGTCAGACAAGGCAGCAATGATGGCCAACCCAAAAAACATATACTGGCCCTCCAGAAAGCAGGAGGCCTCACCTTGTGTCGTAGAACACGCAATGGTAGTTAAGGGGTCAAGCGCCTGATACTTGACCAACCGACATCTATTCGCCCTCCAACAAGATTTGACCAACCTAGGCTAGTGAACCTCCTAGCTGTGGGCGCACCTGGGAGTAGAACCAGGGATCGAACTGGTACGCTGGGTGAAGTCTGACACCTAGGGAGGGATGACTTTTGAGTCGACTCTAAAGTCACCTCGTTACCATGGCACCAGGGATCGAACTGGTACGCTGGGTGAAGTCTGACACCTAGGGAGGGATGACTTTTGAGTCGACTCTAAAGTCACCTCGTTACCATGGCACCAGGGATCGAACTGGTACGCTGGGTGAAGTCTGACACCTAGGGAGGGATGACTTTTGAGTCGACTCAAAAGTCACCTCGTTACCATGGCACCAGGGATCGAACTGGTACGCTGGGTGAAGTCTGACACCTAGGGAGGGATGACTTTTGAGTCGACTCTAAAGTCACCTCGTTACCATGGCACCAGGGATCGAACTGGTACGCTGGGTGAAGTCTGACACCTAGGGAGGGATGACTTGACAAGCCAGTCGTTCAGCATCTAGGGAGGGGCATGGCGCACCTGGGAGGCAATGCAACGCACCTGGGAGTAGAACCAGGCGTCGAACTGATATGCCTGGGTGAAATCCGAGACGGTGACCAGTCCCTCGTCCAGCATGGGCTGTAGCATCGCCATCAGCGATTGGAACAGCCATCTGTACCCAGGCAACGCACCTGGGAGGAGGCAGTGCACCGCACCTGGGAGTAGAACCAGGCATCGAATTGATACGCCTGGATGAAATTCGAAACGGTGACCAGTCCCTCGTCCAGCATGGGCTGTAGCATCGCCATGAGTGACGGGGGCAGCCCGACGGTGCCGTGGAAGGGGCAGGGCACAGCGCACCTGGGAGGGAACGCAATGCACCCGCGAAGAGGCACCGCACCTGGGAGTAGAACCAGGCGTCGAACTGGTAAGCCTGAGTAAAGTCAGAGACGGTGACCAGCCCGTCGTCCAACATCGGTTGTAGCATCGCCATGAGCGACGGGGGCAGCCCGACAGTGTCGTAGAGGACAAAGTGTTCGTAGCCGCCTGCGTAGCGGTGGTAGTGGATGAACTGGAGCACACTGCGCTCCTCCACTTCTGCATAAAGCGTGGAGCTGCAAAAGGCTATTCGCCAGGGCAGTGGGGTCTCTGCTGCCTTGTCCAGCCTCTGGGTCAAGGGAAGGAAGGAGGGAGGGAGGGAGGGAGGGAGGGGGCGGTGGTAGTGGATGAACTGGAGAACACTGCGCTCCTCCACTTCTGCATAGAGCGTGGAGCTGCAGAAGGCTATTCGCCAAGGGAGTGGGCTCTCTTCCCCTCCCTTCTTCTCAAGTTTCTGCGTTGGTGGGAGGAGGGGCAGAGAGGGAGGGAGGGAGGGAGGGAGGGAGGGAGAGAATAAGGGCATGAGGAAGGGAGGGGGGCAGCCCGACGGTGTGGTAGAGAACAAAGTGGTCGTAGCCGCCCGCGTAGCGATGGTAGTGGATGAACTGCTTGTCAAACATTGTATGTGTTATATTTGTGTAGGCTATTGTGGGTTAGCCTCTAGGGGGTACAGAACTTTAGGTTTGTCATACTTGTACTCTCATCCTGCTGCTAGTCAATCCATTCTTGTTCTGTCTCAGATTCTAACATGGTATCACGAGCCTAGGTTGCCACCTAGGACCGCTTTCTACTACGGGCCCACTATTCCGCTAGAAGCGCCCTCGTGCGCCCTACCTTACGTGCGCCCTCGTGCGCCTGTCTCTGCTCGTGCGCCCTCGTGCGCCCTCGTGCGCCCTCGTGCGCCCTCGTGCGCCCTCGTGCGCCCTCGTGCGCCCTCGTGTGCCCTCGTGCGCCCCGAGCCGCCTCTGCAGGCCCGTCAGGCCCGAGAGCCGCCCCTGCAGACCCGTCAGGCCCGCACGCAGCCTCTGCCCGACCGCGCGCCGCCCCTGCAGGCCCTCGCCGCCCGCCACGTCGCCCTACCCGCGGCGTCGCCACCTGCCCGCGGCGTCGCCACCTGCCCGCGGCGTCGCCACCTGCCCGCGACGTCGCCACCTGCCCGCGGCGTCGCCACCTGCCCGCTGCGTCGCCCTGCCCGCGGCGTCACCACCTGCCCGCCGCGTCGCCCTGCCCGCGGCGTCGCCCCTGCCCGCGGCGTCGCCCCTGCCCGCGGCGTCGCCACCTGCCCGCGGCGTCGCAACCTGCCCGCCGCGTCGCCCTGCCCGCGGCGTCGCCACCTGCCTGCCGCGTCGCCCTGCCCGCGGCGTCGCCCCTGCCCGCCGCGTCGCCCCTGCCCGTGGCGTCGCCACCTGCTCGCCGCGTCGCCCTGCCCGCGGCGTCGCCCCTGCCCGCCGCGTCGCTCTGCCCGACGCGTCGCCCCTGCCCGCGCGTCGCCCCTGCCCACTGCATCGCCCTGACCTAAGCCGCCTCTGGAGCAGCCGCCTCTGGAGCAGCCGCCCCTGGAACAGCCGCCCCTGCAGCAGCCGCCCCTGGCCACTGGAGCAGCCGCCCCTGGAGCAGCCGCCCCTGGCCACTGGAGCAGCCGCCACTGCAGGAGCCGCCCCTGGCCCCTGGAGCAGCCGCCCCTACAGCAGCCGCCCCTGGCCACTGGAGCAGCCGCCCCTGGAGCAGCCGCCACTGCAGGAGCTGCCCCTGGCCCCTGGAGCAGCCGCCACCGCAGTCGCCTCCGTCGTGCGCCTGCCCTTCCCACCACTGGTGAGCACTGCCCTGCCCGTGCTGCTACTGCTGTTACTGCTGCTGCTACTGCTTCTACTGTTGCTCCTGGCGTGGCCAGATGCAGCTCCAGGGCCGTCCGCGTGTGTCCCTCACGCCCCAGCAGCTTCGTGAGTGGTACGCCAGTTGGGGTTGTCGGGGTGACCGTAGTGGGAGTTGTCCTGGAGTGGGTAGTTCGGGAACTTCTTGTAGTGGCCCGGTGCAGCAGCAGCGTCGTCCGCGCGACCCTCTTTCGCCCCAGCAGTTTCGTGAGTGGTACGCTCAGAGTAGAGGGTCGCTGAGTACTGCTCGCTGCCCGTACGTTCTTAGCACGGGTGCCTGGACTGGTCAGCCTTGCGGGACGCGTGGTCACACAGAGTCCCACTGCTTCGCCCGTCTGACTGACGCTTGGCGTACAGAGTTTGGCGATGCCGCTGAGCTCCCCGACTGGGTGGAGCTGCTTGGACAGAGGGTAGATATCTTTGCTCTTCCCTATGATGCTATTCTCACTGCAATGTATGCATTGTCTACTAGTACCGAGGGAGCCTGTCACCTGTGTGTGCCGCTTGACCCCGGTATCCAGTCTGCTGCTCTAGGTACTGGTGAGGCTGCCGCACTAGGTACTCGTGTGTCGGTTGCCTCAGGTGCTGGTGAGGCTGCCGCTCTAGGTGCTAGTGTGTCTGTTGCCCCAGGTGCTGGTGAGGCTGCTGCTCCAGGTGCTCATGAGTCTGCGCCCCCTGGTACTGAGTCTACTGAGGCACTGCACACCTTCACACTGGACTCAGGTGCTTCTCGCTGTTTCTTTCGTGACCGCACTGCCCTTGAGCAGCTTGCTCGGCCAGTTGTTGTCTCCCTTGCTGACCCCTCTGGGGGTCCGGTCATTGCGACCTCCTCCACTGTTCTTCCTTGTCCTGCGGTTCCGTCGGGCACACTGTCAGGTCTCCACCTCCCCTTGTTCTCTACGAACTTGGTGGCGGGTTGTGCGCTCCAGGACGGGGGTGTCCACCAGTTCACCCCTGCCTACGAGCGCGTGACACACTGCACGTGTGCTCGGACGGGCCGTCACCTGGCTACCTTCACTCGGCAGCCGGGGTCGGACCTGTACACACTGACCACTGAGTCCCCTCAGGTAGCTGCGTCTGCGTCTGCTTCAGGTCAGCTGTCTGCCCCCTGCTCGTGTCGCTCTCTAGCACACGAGACCGTCCTCTGGCACCACCGCCTTGGTCACCCGTCAGTGCAGCGCCTTCGTGCCATGCACAAACGGTACCTTGTCTCTGGTCTTCCCCGGGTACTCCCTCCCCTCCCACCCTCGCCTGCTCCTCCCTGTCTTCCTTGTGTCGAGGGGCGGCAGCGCGCCGCTCCTCACTCCTCCTCGTTTCCCCCGACGACTGCTCCCTTGCAGACGCTCCACATGGACGTGTGGGGCCCAGCCCGCGTCTGTGGACAGGGTCAGGAGAGGTACTTCCTGATCGTTGTTGACGACTTCTCGCGCTACACCACGGTCTTCCCCTTGCGCACCAAGGGTGAGGTCCCTGATGTTTTGATCCCTTGGATCCGCGCTTCTCGTCTCCAGCTCAGCGAGCGGTTCCACTCGGACTTTCCTGTCCTGCGTCTGCACTCTGACAGAGGTGGTGAGTTCTCCTCCGACCTCTTGGCAGCCTACTGTGCGGAGCACGGCATCCGCCAGTCGTTCACGCTTCCGGCCTCTCCACAGCAGAATGGGGTTGCTGAGCGCCGCATTGGCTTGGTCATGGAGGTCGCTCGTACCTCCATGATCCATGCGGCTGCCCCCCACTTTCTGTGGCCGTTTGCGGTCCGGTACGCTGCGCATCAGCTCAACCTCTGGCTCCGTGTCTCCTTGCCGGAGACCTCGCCCACACTGCTGTGGACGGGGGAGGTTGGCGATGCGTCGCGTTTCCGGGTCTGGGGATCTCGAGCTTTTGTCCGCGATACGTCCGCGGACAAGCTCTCCTCCCGCGCTGTTCCTTGTGTCTTCCTTGGCTTTGTCCCGGACGCGTCTGGTTGGCAGTTTTACCACGCCACCTCGCGCCGTGTCCTGCCCTCTCAGGACGTCACTTTTGACGAGTCGGTGCCCTACTACCGCCTCTTCCCCTACCGCACTGCCCCGCTCCCCCCCCCCGCCTCTCTTCCTCGCGCCAGGTGCTGCTGTGGTAGACCCCCTCCCCCCTCAGGGTGCCGCTCCCTCAGGTGTGTCCCAGGTAGACCCGGTTGAGCCTGTCGAGGTAGCTGTCGACTCTCGTCCTGCTAGGGGTGCTGAGCCTGAGCGTGCGGAGCCTGGGGGTGCGGAGCCTGGGGGTGCGGAGCCTGGGGGTGCGGAGTCTGGGGGTGCTGAGCCTGGGGGTGCGGAGCCTGCGGGTGCTGAGTCTGCAGGTGCTGAGTCTGGGAGTGCTGAGCCTGGGAGTGCTACACCTGGAGGAGCTCTCTCCTCAGAGCAGCTGCGTGAGTGGTACTTACAGTACTGCAGCCTCAGGAGAGGTGCTTCTGGAGATAGGAGCGCTGCTGGAGCTAGTGCTAGTGCTTCCCCTCCTAGGCGGGCGCTGCCCTCTCCCCAGCAGCTCCGAGAGTGGTACGCTCGGCACTGCAGTCTCCGGAGTGGCGCTACTCGCGTCGCGGACCCTGGTGCTGGAGCTGCTGGAGGTGCTGCTGCTGCTGGCGGTGCTGCTGGAGCTGCTGGAGGTGCTGGTGCTGCTGGCGGTGCTGCTGGAGCTGCTGGAGGTGCTGCTGTTGCTAGCGGTGCTGCTGGCGCTGCTGGAGGTGCTGCTGGTGCTGGAGCTGCTGGTACTGCTGGAGCTGCTGGAGGTACTCGTCCTGGAGGAGCTGCTGCTGCTGCTGGTGCTGCTGGCGCTGCTGGAGGTGCTGGTGCTGCTGACGCTGCTGGAGGTGCTGCTGGTGCTGGAGCTACTGGAGCTGCTGGAGGTGCTGCTGCTGCTGGCGGTGCTGCTGGCGGTACTGGAGGTGCTGCTGGTGCTGGTGCTGCTGGAGGTACTGGTGCTACTGTCGTTGCTGGGGGTGCTGCTGGTGCTGGCGCTGCTGGTGCTGCTGGAGCTGCTGGAGCCGCTCGTCCTGGAGGTGCTAGTACTGGAGGTTCTGGAGCTGCTGGGACTGGGCCTGCTGAGGGGGTTGGAGCTGGAGGTGCTGAGCGGCCGCGGCCGTACTACGTTCCGCTCCTTCAGCAGGTTCTTGGTCTCCCGCCCTCTACTGGTCCTTCTCCTCCCCTACTGAGTCCACCGTCTGTCCAGTCGCAGTCACAGTTACAGTCTGCCTCTCCGCTGCCTGCTCCTTCTCCTTACACTGCGCCGTCGGGTAGTCTTACGGAGCGTCGTGAGCCTGAGTCTCGTCCTCCGTCGCCTGAGTCTAGTCCTGCGTCTTTTGCGTCTCGTCCAGAGTCGCCTGTCCGCACTGCCCGCACTGGTCGTCGTGCTCCACGTGAGCGTCCTCCTCCTGTCCTTGGCACTCACTATATGACACTGCGTCCTTCCACTTCTCCACAGCGCGTCCCTCTGCCGTCTCCTCCTGCGTCCTCTCTTCCTGACGTTGCCGACCCGCCGTCAGACCTTACTCGTGCTGCCAGTCCTACTGTCGCGCGTCTCCTTGCCACTGTTGTCACTGACCCTACCTTTGAGTCCTCTGCTGCGTCTGCTCTAGTCGCTGAGCTTGTTGACTTTGCTGCCACCTGTCGTCTAGACTACGCCGCTAGCCTTGTTGCTGAGTCTGAGTCTGTCTGTCCTCCGTCCGTCGGGGGTGAGTGTGCTCTTGGCACGGACGTCCTTGAGGACAGACAGGAGGAGTTTGAGTGCTTTGCTGCTGCTTTACCTCATCTCGTGTCCATGCTGATTGCCCCTGAGGGAGACCCGGATGCACCAGACATCCCGACCCCACGCTCCTACGCAGAGGCGATGGAGGGTCTCTACTCCTCTCAGTGGCAGACAGCCATGGACGCAGAGATGGCTTCCTGGAAGTCCACAGGCACCTACGTCGACGAGGTTCCCCCACCTGGGGCGAACATCGTCAGTGGCATGTGGATTTTCAGGGTGAAGCGGCCGCCGGGTTCTCCGCCTGTCTTCAAGGCGCGTTACGTTGCACGAGGCTTCAGTCAGCGAGAGGGAGTTGACTTCTTCCAGACCTTCTCCCCGACCCCGAAGATGACCACTCTTCGGGTTCTGCTGCACGTCGCTGCTCAGCGTGACTACGAGCTCCACTGCCTTGACTTCAGCACTGCGTTCCTACAGGGCACCTTGCACGAGGAGATCTGGCTGCGCCGCCCACTTGGCTTCACTGGGTCGTTCCCTCCTGGTACCCAGTGGAGCCTCCGGCGGCCAGTCTACGGTCTCCGCCAGGCACCCCGTGAGTGGCACGACACACTGAGGACTACTCTTGCGGCTCTTGGGTTTGCTCCTTCTACTGCTGACCCGTCGCTGTTTCTACGCACCGACACCACTCTGCCGCCGTTCTACGTTCTCGTGTACGTAGACGACTTGGTCTTTGCTACTGCTGACACTGAGGCACTCGCCCACGTGAAGTCGGAGCTGCAGAAGAGACAAACGTGCACAGACCTGGGTGAACTGACAATCTATCTTGGCTTGCGGATCACCCGGGACAGAGCACAGCGCACCATCACCTTGACTCAGTCACACATGGTGCAGCAGGTCCTTCAGCGCTTCCGCTTCACGTACTCCTCGCCTCAGGCCACTCCTCTGCCTACCGGTCACTCACTCTCAGCTCTGCCTTCGGATGAGTCCGTAGAGCCGAGTGGCCCGCATCCAGAGCTTGTGGGCTGCCTCATGTACCTGATGACCTGCACTCGACCTGACCTAGCCTACCCTCTTAGCATCCTAGCTCGCTATGTCGCTCCTGGCCGTCACTTGGATGCTGCTAAGAGGGTGTTGCGCTACTTGTGCAGTACATCGGGCATGGGGCTTGTGCTTGGAGGACGGCGCGACGTTGTCCTCACTGGACACTCAGACGCTTCTTGGGCTGACGACCAGGCTACTCAGCGGTCGTCTCAGGGTTACTTCTTCAGCCTTGGCTCTGGCTCAGTTTTTTGGCGTTCTACACGCTCTTCCTCTGTTCTCAGCTCCAGTTGTGAGGCTGAGATCTACGCCACAGCCATGGCTGCCCAGGAGCTACGCTGGCTCACCTACCTGCTGACCGACCTGGGAGAGCGGCCTCGTTCTCCTCCAGTGCTGTACGTCGCCAACAAGGCAGCCATTGCCTTGTGTCAGGAGCACAGACTGGAGCACAGAACGAAGCACATCGCTCTGTGCTACTTCCTTGCTCGAGAGCTGCAGCAGCGTGGTCAGCTTCGTCTCTCGTACGTGGCCACTCGGGCCAACACTGCTGACGTGTTCACCAAGGCGCTTCAGCCTTGTGACCATCAGCGTTTCTGTACTGTTCTAAGCCTTGTGCCTACTCTCCCTCACTTGCTCACTTCTTGACTCTGCTTGTACTGTGATCTCTATATATATACCTGCATGCTTGCACTTGCTAGGTTGTGATCACTGTACCTCTTGTTCGATTATCAAACTGCATGTGTACTGGTCTTGTGACCACTTGCTTGTGCTCGGAATTTGTGTGGTATCCTTGAGATCCACCCTGAGCTTGTTTTGCTTTGCTTTGACTGGTCCTGTGACCCCTTGTTCTCCCCCACTTAGCCTATGGGGGTGTGTCAAACATTGTATGTGTTATATTTGTGTAGGCTATTGTGGGTTAGCCTCTAGGGGGTACAGAACTTTAGGTTTGTCATACTTGTACTCTCATCCTACTGCTAGTCAATCCATTCTTGTTCTGTCTCAGATTCTAACACTGCTGCACGCTGCGCTCCTCCACTTGTGCGTATAATGTGGAGCTGCAAAAAGCAATGCGCCAGGGGAGAGGGCTCTCTGCTGCCTTGAGGCTCTGGTTTGGGGGGAGGGTAGGGCAGGAGGGAGGGGAAGCAGGGAAGGAAGCAGGGAGGGAAGCAGGGAGGGAAGCAGGGAGGGAAGCAGGGAGGGAAGCAGGGAGGGAAGCAGGGAGGGAAGCAGGGAGGGAAGCAGGGAGGGAAGCAGGGAGGGAAGCAGGGAGGGAAGCAGGGAGGGAAGCAGGGAGGGAAGCAGGGAGGGAAGCAGGGAGGGAAGCAGGGAGGGAAGCAGGGAGGGAAGCAGGGAGGGAAGCAGGGAGGGAAGCAGGGAGGGAAGCAGGGAGGGAAGCAGGGAGGGAAGCAGGGAGGGAAGCAGGGAGGGAAGCAGGGAGGGAAGCAGGGAGGGAAGCAGGGAGGGAAGCAGGGAGGGAAGCAGGGAGGGAAGCAGGGAGGGAAGCAGGGAGGGAAGCAGGGAGGGAAGCAGGGAGGGAAGCAGGGAGGGAAGCAGGGAGGGAAGCAGGGAGGGAAGCAGGGAGGGAAGCAGGGAGGGAAGCAGGGAGGGAAGCAGGGAGGGAAGCAGGGAGGGAAGCAGGGAGGGAAGCAGGGAGGGAAGCAGGGAGGGAAGCAGGGAGGGAAGCAGGGAGGGAAGCAGGGAGGGAAGCAGGGAGGGAAGCAGGGAGGGAAGCAGGGAGGGAAGCAGGGAGGGAAGCAGGGAGGGAAGCAGGGAGGGAAGCAGGGAGGGAAGCAGGGAGGGAAGCAGGGAGGGAAGCAGGGAGGGAAGCAGGGAGGGAAGCAGGGAGGGAAGCAGGGAGGGAAGCAGGGAGGGAAGCAGGGAGGGAAGCAGGGAGGGAAGCAGGGAGGGAAGCAGGGAGGGAAGCAGGGAGGGAAGCAGGGAGGGAAGCAGGGAGGGAAGCAGGGAGGGAAGCAGGGAGGGAAGCAGGGAGGGAAGCAGGGAGGGAAGCAGGGAGGGAAGCAGGGAGGGAAGCAGGGAGGGAAGCAGGGAGGGAAGCAGGGAGGGAAGCAGGGAGGGAAGCAGGGAGGGAAGCAGGGAGGGAAGCAGGGAGGGAAGCAGGGAGGGAAGCAGGGAGGGAAGCAGGGAGGGAAGCAGGGAGGGAAGCAGGGAGGGAAGCAGGGAGGGAAGCAGGGAGGGAAGCAGGGAGGGAAGCAGGGAGGGAAGCAGGGAGGGAAGCAGGGAGGGAAGCAGGGAGGGAAGCAAGGAGGGAAGCAGGGAGGGAAGCAGGGAGGGAAGCAGGGAGGGAAGCAGGGAGGGAAGCAGGGAGGGAAGCAGGGAGGGAAGCAGGGAGGGAAGCAGGGAGGGATTGAGGGTGTACGGGCAAGAGGAAGGGACGGGGGCAGCCCGACGGTGTGGTAGAGCACAAAGTGGTCGTAGCCGCCAGCGTAGCGGTGGTAGTGGACCTACTTTGGGTCTTCCGAGACCAACTTCGGGTCTTCCGGCCAAAAACTGCTCCTGTTTCCGGACGACATTAAGTTTTACAGGAAGTTTAACCCAAAGCTTCGGGTCTTCCCGGGAAGGCCCGAAGCTTGACACGAGCCAAGAACGCACCCTTACTGAAGGCGAGTTCGAGCGGCTAAATTTTCGAAACCCCCCGTCTTTGTGCTGTTAAACATACACTCGCATCCCCAGAATTGTTCTCATGTCAGGCTGGTCGCTGACTGGACAATGGGAGCATTGATTTCAGGCTGACGGTGGCTCCGCTCCATATCGCACTCCAGTATCACAAGTGGTCAGGGTGGCTGGTTCACATTTGCTGAAGTGGCGAGAAATGGGGTGGAAGCAACGTACTGTATCCACTGAAAGCAGAGACGAAACGTACTTCACCTTTCTCAAATGACTAAACTCAACTTTCCTCTGCTGCCGCATTCGTCAGCTGCACCAAATTCCGCTCCTCGCCCGAAGCTCCAAGTTACAACCAGCCCCTCGAGAGTTTTGCTCAATTCCGCGAAATCGCGGTTTGTTTTATTATCGCCACGTGGCATGCCTTCAATCGCGGGAACCGCGATCTGTTTTATTGTTCCCACAAAGTTCAAGAGAAATTTGGTTAAGTTTTGTACTGGGCTGCCCGCGGGCAAAAATAAAACCCATTCGGCCCTGGCATGCGTTAGGGAGACATCAACCCTAAACACCTTGCCTCTAGGTGTTTAGGGTTGATGCATCCCTAACGCATGCCTTTCCTATAGGGGTTTTATTTTTGCCCGCGGGCAGGGCAGTACATGTGATCCACTAAGTCTAACTAGATTTCTCTTGAAATTTGTGGGAACAATAAAACAAATCGCGCTTCCCGCGATCATAGGCATGCCACGTGGCGAAAATAAAATGAACTGAGATTCCGCGGAATTGAGCAAAAATCTCCAGCCCCTCCCTCTTCAACCTCTTCTTGGCTCCAATCAATCAACGCCTTCACGTACCTTCACCTCACTACAACCTATCCAAACCGATCTAAGCCGTAGAAAACCACCCCTTCTCCATCCACAACCGTCCGTCAGTAGTAGTGTTTTCTGGTCTGTCAAAATTGGCCCACAAGAAAATTATGTGGCAACTTTCCGTGTCTTATCTTGAGAGTCGGTTCGTCTTTCTTCTCGCTTCCTAACTATGTCTGAACTCCTTACAGGAATCGAGTTCCAGGTTTCAATCCCTACCAGGACTAAATATAGGTTCTGGCAGACAGTTTCTGAGAAAGCTAGGAGTCACACGGTTTTGACTCGGAAATCACATCACACATGGCGGCTGCAGGTTACACTCGAGTCGCGCCACGTGCAACCACTGTTCCTTACCGGGCGTTGCGACCTCGCGCTGGTATCACAGCATTCCTCCTCCTTCTACTCCTCTATTTCTCACCAACGACGGCAAGTATTGGGCCACTAACGAGGCATCCCAAATTTGCGAGCTCTCACAACATACAAATTCGTAACTTGAAAGTGTCAAAATTGGAAGTTGTAAATGACTAACATGGATGACACTGGACAATGTGCGGAAAACATACTTTCCCAGGTATGGTTTCCGAACCTAAACATACGGGAATGTATCATTGTGGTAAGATGGAGGGCGACTCGGAGTTCGTTTAGAAGGGGAGCTCGAACATTGCCATTTGGTGACGAAATGAGTTACTGAGACAGCCACAACTCCGCGACATTTTTTGGACGAGTCGCCTCTCATTCCAACTCGTCGTTCGATTTGAAGCGAAGGTTTGGTTGTAACTACTTGATTTTTACGACCAATCACAATTAACGGCGGGGTGCCAAGCGAAATGTTTGGTTCATGTACGAGATGCACGCTCCCTGCCATCTGGCGCTGGTGACTCGATCTGGGTGCCAAGTGAAGTTCGCCTATTCGTCGAACGGAATTGCGGCACTTGCGGCGATTGCTAGAAATTTGGCGGGTACTGGCTTTTGGAAAGTGAGTTGGCGTTCGGAGGGTGGTGGTGACGTACCAGGTGTTCGACAACTGAAGTGCCATCTGGAGTCATACAGTCCTTTCGACTGGCTGCTTTTTTTCAGTTAGGTGTGACCTGTCAGGCGCTTTGACTGACACGTCGACGCTGTAAAGTTCTGCACCATTCGACCATTTGGCATTGCGCACGCCACGCGGCGTGAATACAGTTTTACACGCTGGCTCGCTCTGGTAATGACATCTGTGATTGAATTTTGGGGGAGAATTACAGTAACGCGTAACTTTTGTAACGTCGTAACACAGAGTAACAGGACTATAATATGTAGCCATCGCATTGGGTTGCTTATGGCTAAATTTGTTTGTATTGCTAAATCTAGCATTAATATATTCGATATACCGTGATATGCTAATTTCGAGACAGGTCACCACAATCAGAATTATCATTGCTACATCTTATTAGAGATTGCATAGAACAGGATTTATTAATGTAGCATACATTTATTATATCCTTTTATTACCTTACCCCTTCTACTAGGCTTTCCATAGATTATACTAAGCATTTGGAGACACCACCGGGGGAGTGAGGTTCCTAATGCCATCGCTGCTGATAAATACCACTTCGGTGGTACTGCTGAATCGCCAGGCACGCACTTCCTTGTGGTACCAAGGCCCCTTCTCAGCATTCCTGTTCAGAATCGCGCTCCTCACTACAGCCAGAACATTGTCGTTGTATTCTTGCAAGGCTTTTCGATTCAGCTTACTGCCCCGCTCCATGTCCTTCCCCGTTTGTATTTTGTGCTCGACCTGAGATACAGAACCCACAATTCACTTTGAGCAACACTTGTATGCTCAGTGGACGGTAATACTAGAGATTTGAATGAAAATATACTCACCCCAAAGAGCCAAAAGGCAAGGAGCTTGATGCGCAGAACAATAGCCCTATGGCCTGGCCTTGTAAAGGCTTGCGTGATGGCATTGATGAAGAGATCCGTAGAGAACGGAACATTCTGTTCGTTGAATGTCCACTTCAACAGGTTGAATGAATGCTCATCTGATTTGGAGATCAATACAGGAGTGCGTTGGGAGAGCATTCAGTCAGGCATAGGGGCGGTTGGAGGGTGGCAGTGGGGAAAAGGGGTAACTATGATTCGAAAGGAGGGTACGAACAAGCATGAAGTGCATCTTGGGTGTGGGGTAGACGCACTGCAGGGTGAGGGAAGGGGGAGGGTGGGGCAGGGAAGATGGTTGGGTTGTGGGGAACGAGGAGATGAGAGAACAGTGCAGTGACGACATGCTTTAAGAGGGTGGCAGAAAATGCATCCTAGAGCTTGTAAACGAATTCAGGGACACATGTTTTGATGGGAGCCAAAGCTGATGGAAATGAGAGTGATTGGATAATTCGTGTACCTGGATCGAAGTCCTCGAGAAACTTGGCAACGGTTAGCGTCCCAACAACCTCCCCTCCCATGTCCGGACGCGCGATGATGATGTCATAGGCGGCGTACAGCATCACACGGCCAGTGGTGAGCACCTTGTGACGCCAACCCTGCAATTTGCTCCGAGCATGCTTTGGACACCTTGTCACCTTCCGGGTCTCCTTGCGAGTCATCCTCCTCGTCACCTTCGTCGTTTTCCTCAGCGTTTGCCTCTTGACGCCTCCGTGAGCTCTGGAGATCGGGTTGCCCGTATAGAATGGCCGCGACGTCTTCCGGTTGAGAAGTTTCGGGTTGCTGCTCGAATGCAGCAGTCTGTGCACGATTGTCGGGTGTCGCGTTGTGATTTGCCGTTGCCTCGTCGCCAGCTCGATTTACGTGGCTGTCTGCAGGTGTTGAACCATTCGGCAGAGCGTTGTGACGAACGGTGTCGGCTTCTTCAGAGACGACGCTGCCAACGGCCTGATGGGTTTTCTTTGGCGGCCCGAGAGTGGAGACGTTTTTTGGAGGAGGCTCCTTCCGGATTACGGGCGCGTTCTGCGCCCATCGCATGATTTGATGACTTAAGTTATGAGAACAAGTAGCTTGCCTGATCTTCGGACGGTTTGCACTTGAGCGTACGTAGTTGCACCACCATTAGCACATGCACGAGCAGAAGCTGCCAGTGCCGTCCACTTGGACCTACGGCCCGTGGTCGTGCGGACACTACCTAAATCGCGAGCACGCTTCGGAACTGAAGAGGGTAGCATGTCTGGAAACTAGAAAAGGTGGTGTGAGTGATTCTACTTCACTATACCCAAATGTTCTGCACGTTTTTATACCTACACGGTTTGAGGTATAGGTCCATTGCACAGAACTCGATTCAAGGCTTGGAACAGAGCTGTACATGTTGAGAGCGGTACACGCGGAGCGAAGGTGTAGCTGGCTGATCCACGCGCGACTTGTGTGGGCTTCACAAGTTCAAATTAACGATTTGAAATTTGCTAGTTTGAAAGGCATATGAGCTGCTCCATAGGCGTGTCTCAGTCTTGCGCGGGCGACACAACAGCCAGTCTGCTCGGTGAACGGTTTCCGTCAGCTATCAGCTGCCTCACAGTTAAACGTCGCACCAATGGGGGTAAGCATCGAGCTTGAATGTCGCTGCACCGTAGATAGTTACACAATCGACGATACAGAGTGATTTTTGTGGACGTGAAACGTCAACGTCAGGAGAGATGCAGAGTTCAGTACATTCCGCAACAACTTCGCTTACTCTGCTGACCAAAATCCAGCGGAGCAAGTGCGGACATGTTGCTGATTCTGCATTGGTCGAAACATCTCGGCTGCAGTAAATGGTCTGCTGCTATTGGTCCAAACACCCAGATGTAAAATATGTGATTGCAGCGGAAACACGCTTCGTGTCGCCACGTTTTTGGTACGCGCGAAATCCGTTGGTGCTTTTTCCCGGCAGACTTGTTCCCCCGCCACCACCCAGAGGCGCTAGCGAAATGGCGCAAGCGTTGTAGCGGTACAGGTGGGATGGTTGGACCAATACCTACTGTCGAAGCCACACTTCAACAGCAGGAATGGCAAAGGATTTGTTGCTTATACGATTTTGTGAAAATTATAAACAAAAATAAATGACAGAGTGTTTCTGACAATTTCCGCGTTGTTTGCAAAAATTATAAGTCATTGTTTAGTTTTGAACAACGACTTTATTGTGGTCACAATACATCCTAGTAGGTGAATGGAGGCCCAAAAACAGATTTGGCTCGGATTTATAGGGTTGGTTGCAATGTTAACGAAACATCGTTTAGGCATCAAAACCATCTTCCC